AAGTGAAGAGCTCTCCTGGTTCAACTCTTTCCCCCCCCCAAAAAAAAGATTATGTGTGATTTTTTTCATCTACATTGATTGTATTACTGTTATTCTTTATCACTCATAATAATGTGTAAGATGGGATGGGCAGAAATACAATGCCAGAGTCCGCATCAAACCATAAGAAGCTGCAGTTTGAGGAGAACTGAGAATTTACAAGGAGTGACCTTCCACAATTACACTTCTCAGGTTGCTGCTGTCACGTGAAAGCCTTTTTGTTACACAACAGAAATGGCACAGTTTAGACAAATATATAGCAATGGAACTGTGCCAAGATTTAATTAGGTCTCGTGATCCAGATCTTTGTAATTACTCACTTCTTTCAATGCGATGAATTCACCTTTTTGGGCACAATCTTCCAATTCGATTTTAGTAAACCAAGGCCACTCATTTTATGGCTCTTTTGCATACAGCTGAGTGTTCAGAGGCTTTGTAAAAGGAATGGAGGCTTGTTTATTTCTTTTTTAATTTAATTTATTTTTTGTACAGAGTGATGAGTACTTTCATGTTCTATCTTGAAGAAAATTAGAAGGTTTCTAGTGGTTATTCAGTAAAATTCCTCTTAGTACTTCTTTCTCTAACTTGTGGTAGGTAAAAATAGTGAGGGACTATTACAGTAACTGGCTGATGGCTTAGAAACACTTGATAAGTTAGAAGTTAAAGTGTTTACAAATGGAAATTTGCCATCTTTTTACGATATTGGCTGCAGTATGTCTGGCACTTCAGAGCTGTCAATGACCAGAAATTAAGCAAGTGGTAAACATGATTGGAAATAGTAATCATCCATCATTTGTCTTTCCAGAGGAAAAAAAAAGAAACAACAACTGCATTTACATTCTTTAGTTCCCATCATTTCCTAAATTAATGAACTTGAAAAAATGATACTGAATATTTATCCTTTGTCCTTAGGGAAAAAAAAGAGAAACGGCAATTTTTAAAGTGCTCTCCTAAAGAAGACAACATAGTTGTATCAAAAATACTCAGTAAAATGTGATAAAACTAAATTAGTCATATCCGTGTCTGTTCAGTTAGTTTCCTGTTTGTTTGCAGTAAGTGGAGAGGGAATGAAATACTGTGAACTAGAAGTTATTTTTTAGGATAACAGCTAGTAAGTTAGTAGTATGGATGTAGGGCTGGTTTAGGAGGTTTGTGGAGGGTTAGATGATTAATTGAGTGGCCAGCAGTGGCCATAATCATTTTTATGTGTAGGGTCCAACTCCTCCATCATCAAGTAGATTTCATCATTTTTCTTCAGTCAGACTTCTTAAAAACAGAGCTCACCTTTGACTGGACAAATTTAGTAACGTGAAAAACTGCTAACGGGATAAAAAAAAGAGTATCTTACTGTAGGCAAAATACCTAGAATTAAATGCCCTGATTAAAGAATGAGTCAGATAAGGTTTTTTATAAATTTTAGCCATTTTTTTGTAGCATTCTTTGGTTTCAAATCAAATTCTTCTGTGAGCTTCCATCATAAGGCAGTTGTTGTGATGGCCTCAAAAATGACCTATATCTTGCAGACTTCTCTGGATTTTTATACTTTAGATCCTGTACTAATGAAATAGCCAAATGATTCTATTTTTTCTTTATCGGTGATTTCCTTATTGTAAAATCCATCCTAAACCACAGCTAGTGTTTTTTGTTTAATATAATCATCTACTTTAGCGTTGTGGAGAGTAGCTTGGGTAGAGCAAGGAGTGACCACAATAACACTCATTCAAGCACACCGTGTTAATTAATAATTGTAAATTGTACAAATTCAGTATTTTAGCTACAAAGGCAAATACAGTTCTCCATTTTTAAGGAGATAAGATACTGTACAAAAAGATTATACTGTTTAAATTTTCCTATGTCATCATTTTGTGGAAAGAAGGGAAAGCAAATTGCAAATATTTAAAATGTCGAACTAATGGAGTTATAAATGATGAACAACTTGTTAGGAGTGCAAAAGAAAGCCATGGTTTGCTCTGGGACCCTGAAAAAAGAACTGAATAATTCATCAGGATAGAATAAATAAGAATATTTCCATACAGCAGTTGCAAATTTGTTTATTGATCTACCTAGTATAAGTTGTTAAAAGATTCATTATTTAGCAAAGGGAGAAAATGTAATATACCTAAAATACTGAAAATGCTTTATTTCTGATTTTGGAACTTCATTGCCCGTCAGGGAAGAAAATCCCAGGGAAACATGAAAATAGACAAAACCCCACAGTACATTGCATAATGAAGGGTGGAAGTTGAAGTTTCTGTAACACCCGAGACTGGACTGTGCCAAAATGTCTTCAACTACAGAATTCTTACAATTATTTAGTAGTACCAGAAATGTCAGTACAACTGATCTGCTATTGTGGCCTCATCGCGCCCTCCCTCCTGCTCAGAAATGCAGGGGAGAGATGGTTTTGCACAAGTGTCTGTGAACTGGATGGTGTAATCGACTCTCAAATAACCTGGTAAACAAATAATTAAACCCAACACAATGCAGTGCCTCCCTGGGAATCCCTGGGGATTCACCTGGGGTCACTGCTGTGTTCCTCTAGGATGAGTGCTATGGCAGATTCAGAAAAAGGAAAAAAAAACAACCCAAATTTTAAAATTTTGAAAAACCCACCTCTATTGAGAAAATTATGAAAATGTTATTTTTAGGTATATTTCTTATAAAGCCCTCTTAGGACATATAATGGGTAACAGTTATAACTTTAATCCTTTTCTCCCCCTGTTTTGGGATAGTCGTTATTTCCTTCTCTCTCTGTTTTTTAAAGTGCTGAGTGTAATTTGCCATTTTACTTTTTTAAAGTCATTTTCAAAGTGGGGAAGAGCGTGAACTCAGAAGGAGCAGGTCCCTAAATCCCTATGGGAGCTCTGCATCCCCAGAATTTGTTCCCTCCTGGCAGACTTGGACCTGCTGGGACATGTTTGTCCAGTGATTTGTTGGATTCTGTTCCAATGCTTTGTGCTCCACTGGACATCCCACAGTGCACATTCCAAGGCCAGCAGAGGTGGACTCAGCTCGGGCAGCACAAGGACAGTCAGGAATTGCTGTGCAGGGAGGTGTGATGCTGTAATAAGGCTCATCATTATTAGTGCCCTTAAATGGGCTGCTCCTTCCTGGTCAGGGACTGCAGCACGGACTCTGCTGGACATTTTAAAATGCTCAGGCTTTTGACATCATCATTTTTCTCCATCAGTGGTGCCACTGTTATCCTTCACCTAGAAAACTTGCACATACAGAAATAACATCCAACATACTTCGCTCAAATGGTGCCCGTCATGGTTTTATTGGACATTGTTGCCACTGCTCGGCTTAAACAGGTCGTATTTTGCTTAAAAAAAACCCAACAAACCAACCCTAAAAACTTTCTATTCTGTTTTCCTTTGGAAACGGAGATAATCCGAAAGCAATTAGTGGACATGAATGGCCATGGCTCTCGGAGAAGCACCTTTATTTGCCACAGCTCCACAGTCTGGTTGGTTTGTGGTGGCCTCTCTCATAAGAAGTGTATTGTGGTTGCAAAGTACTTGCTATACCAAACTCACCTGACTGGCTTTCTCTTGTCAATTGAAGTTATACGGTGTTTTAACACTGATCCTTGCATAAGTAATACCCTTTATTACAGGCTTTTTTAATGAATCAAAGACTTGCACTCATTTTGAAAGCCAGCACCAGGTTTTACATTTGAGTGATATTTCTAGACTTTTCCAAACAACTTGGAATGAAATCCAGTCAGCTTGGATGCTAAATATGCTGCTGCATAACTTTGACTCTAAAACACAGTTTAAACCATGGAAAAAGAAATAAATCTGTGGTAATTAACGGAATATTTCCTTTTTTCTTGGTTTAAAAAGGTCAGCCCTCCTTTGTGCCAGTTTTCAGGTCTTTCCAGCACTATTCCTTAACTTCCTAGGTAGTGTGCCAAACACCTGGAAATACAATTTCCATATCTGCATCTTTTGGAAATCGAGTGTAAGCACACAATAAATGGAGTGATAATTTAATAAGCATCGGCCATGTGTGTTCTGCAGGGCAGGTATTGGCAGGTCATTAGTAACCTGCCAGTGGCTCCGAGTGCATTTTGTGGGCTTGAGTACTTTCACAGGAGATTTTCAAGCCTTTATAGGTGATTCAGCCTCATGCCCTACAGAAATACATTGCAGGAAGGAAGACTGCTAGAAATTAAAAGTAATTGAGGTTCCAACACATGACAACAGAAGCAGTTTGGCTTCCCTTTTTATGTGACAGTCTCCTGCTTTATAAATTGCCAGGAGCAATATTCTTTATTCGCTTATTCCAGCTGAAGGATTTGCAAAGGTAACTAATTTCATCCTCTGATTCACTCCTTAGAAATCCCTTTTTTCTTTTCCCTTCCAAAACCATAACCCAAATTCTTCTAATTTGTCATGGTGGTTATTTCTGGGGTTGGTAAAATCCATAGGCATTACCAGCAGGATTGTGAGCATCCCTTCTTGTGCTGTTTGTAACAGAATCCTGTTTTGGAGCTTGTTGTTGTGAGAGAATATTACTGTCCAATGAAATTATCTTTAGAGTGCTTGGAAATCATTGATAAAATGCATAAATTACTTAGTTTATGCTGTATGTGTATCCTTGTGCATGTGTGAGGCTGTTTATACGTATAATACAAGAAAAAGTATGCAAGTTGCACTCACATTTGTGTATATAGACATACTCAGATGCAATATTTTTTAAAATTTAGTCAATCTGTCTAATGGATGCATGCAATCTCTGGCATCCTTGCCCTCATTTGTTATTTTCACAAATCATGATACTTGTATAGGTGAAGACTAAACAATTTTAATTCACCTTCAGATGAAACAATGACGTAATGACATACCCAGAGAATTACTTTCTGCACTTTGGTCAGGTTTTGGTTTTTTTTGGGGGGGGGGTTTAATGCCTACCAATGCAATGACAAAGGTTTATTTTCCCTTTGTTCTTTTCAGAGTGCTGCAGCAGCTCCCAGTCCAGTGCTAGGAAACATTCCCCCAGGAGATGGCATGCCAGTAGGTCCTGTACCACCGGGGTTTTTTCAGGTATTCAGAAAAAATAATGATTATAGGCATTTCAGGATAGAAAATCCTCTGTAATACTGTTTGCAAGTCTGTAGAAAAGATTCTTTCCTAAACTATGTCTCACTATATGGTGCAATATTTGAGTTTATTTTTAAACAAGAGTGAATAGGTGGAAAGGAAGGGACCTGACTGTAGTTTATGAAATAGTACAGCACAACTCCTTTCAAGAACAAGAAACAGTGCCATTTTATGAGTAGAGATTGAAAATGCTTGAGTGATTATAATATTAAAATAATTTCTTATGATAATATACATGACATTACATGGAAATTATAAAGTGAGAACGTTGTTGGTTGTGTTCAGCTCTGTGCTAAGCCACAGGCCAGATCTCTGAGGGCTTCAGGCTTCAGTGGGAATTAAGCCTGGGCAATCTCCTTGCAAGTTGAAGATCCCAACCCCAGTGGCCAAAAAAACAAGTCCAGGATTTATACCACGTGTTGCTTTTATTGCGTTATGTCATCAGTGAAACTAAACACCCATTGAGCATTTTGGGCACTGACAGTACAAGATATTATGATGGAAAAAATGGCATCTTTTAATGTCAGGCCAACCTGATACTTGTAATCTGAGTCTGGACTGCTCCCAGGTTGAGGTTGTGTCTCCTCTTCACCAAAACTCCCTTGGTTTTCTCTACATTGGCAAACTAAGGCATGATTTTTGATACATGAATGAAAAGATATGTGCAATTGAAGTGGAAAATATCTGACTGCTGCCAGTCACAAAATCCTCAGGAGTTGGCAGAAATGATTAATTAATTATTTCTGCTTTTCCTGCTTTGATCACCTGGTAGATTTTTTTTCACACACAATTTTATCTTAATTTTTAGATTGTATCAATACTTCACTTTTTTTCTTTCTTTCTTTTTTTTTTTACTTCAGTCACCCACTCCAGTTGTGATGTCAAAGGAATTAACTTTTTTTCTGTTATTGTCTGGGATGACATTTAAGAGGGGGAAAGGGCACCAATAGGACAAGTATGTGAAGTGCAGAGGAGAGAGTAACTATTTTAAAGGTTTTACAGAAGGAGGATGTGGATGTTTTGTTTTTAGAAGCGTGAAAAGTCTTCCAGCCACTCTAGATCTTTTAAAGATGTAAGAAAGACAAGATGACAGAAGGTTAAGTGTGGGTAAAATTTCCTTGTCTGCCAGTACCTGGCTTGAGTCTTACTTGAAGCCACAACAGCCTGCTCTTTTTGCAAGGCCTGGGATTGAAAATAAACATTTTTTTTCAAAATATTATTAATTTTTGCTGCAATCATCTGCTTAAGAATACATGTAGGTTTGCAAATCCAAGTGCAGGTTTGATAGTGGGTGCACTGATATGGTTGGGAGCAATCCCACCAAGGGTAACTGAGCCAAAATCCAGTCATTTACATTCCAGTGTGGTGGAAACTGTAAGGTATGTGTAAAGCTGATGAACACAGACAGCCCCTGACAAGGTGTGGTGGCGTTGGAGTGAGTGCTGTCAGGCAGCAGTTTAATACCAGATTGTGAAGCCCTCAGTGGCAGTTGAGTCTCACCAAGGTCAATTCATCTGACAAGAAAATGTATTGACAGACACAGCTCTGCCTGTGAAACCTGAAAATTGGGGAACATCATCTGCTGCCCTGAAACACAGGTGAAATCACAAACAAGGCAGAGAAACTCATGATGAAAACTTCCTACTGCCTTCGTAGGTGCTGTTTTCCTTGTACACCTTTAATTAGACAGTGCATTTCTCTGTCCTCTCCTGCAGTTTCTTTGGTCCCATCTGGTCCTGAGAGGAACCAAACCACAGAAAACATCTTCATCTGCCTTGTTCTGAGTACTGACAAACTCCAGTCCTGTTTCACCTAGAGTTTGCAGTTCAGACCTGCAGCTTCCTCTTGGATGATGAAGGCAAACAATTTTGTTCTTCAGGAGAGGGAAGATTACAGGGAGAGTGGAGAGTGGTGCTTATGTCTATATTTAGTTCTCTGAGACTTTGCAATACAAAAGCATTGTAGCACTTCAACTTCTTTTAACCTAAAATTTATCTAGAAGGTCATCCTAGAACTATAAGGATGCCTTCTGTTGCTTTCATGAGCTGTTTGGATTGGCCTAAGCTGAGGCTGTTGACAGCCACTGCCTTCCAGCTCTGCTTGGAGAGCTCAGATGATTTAGAGTAATTTCTTTTCTCTTGGTTTTGCACTGAAACTATGTTTCAAGTGGGCATAAACGACTCATGGTGATGTAACCAAACTGGAAGTCATGGCTGCTGCAATGGATTCTTATCAGACAGGTCAGGGGAACATGGAAGTCCAGGCAGGGACTGTGCTGCAAACAAAGGATCATTACTGAGATTCCCTTAAGGCTGGCTCTGCTGACCATAAACATGATTTTTGAGAACTTTGGTGGTTTTTTTTTTAAATAAAATAAATCTTATTTTTTACAAAAGAAAATAAATATATTTTTATTTTATAAAATAATACAGTATGTTAGTGTAGCAGATGGAGGTAGCTAAATAAGGGAGAATTATGGTTTCTCAGAGAGTATGTGATAAAACTCTGCTCTTTGTAAAATGAGATTTTCTTGCATATTTAGACCACTGGCATTGAAGTTAATTAGCAACCTCTGGCATTTCATGCCTGGTCCACAGAGGTGGAGTTTCTGAAGCCATCAGCTGAATTTTTCTTGTGTCTCCGTGTACCTGTACTTTTATACTTCAGTTCAGGTGATGGATGACAGTCACTACAGTGCTGACAGCCTGAAACAATGATACAGTGAAGGGGCGGTGGTGGAGTTGTGCACTGCTATTTTCAACTAAATGACTTCTTTAGTTGAAGACTAAAGACTTTTTTAGTCTAAAAAAAAGAGAATTGTTTAGTGTCAGAAGTGAAATTTGAGAAGTCAAGAAAACTGGTTTATAAGGAGTTAGGATGTGCCTCAATTTCCTCCTCCTGTGTATGTGCTTTAATGTAATTTTAAATGTCATAGGTATGTATTTTTTGTCCTCATCTTGTTTTAGTCTGTACAATGGTGAGACTCTGGAAATAAACAGGTGTGATACAATAACTGAGCCTACTCTTGGTTCATGAGCATCAAAACTCGAGTGTGCGGGACTGCAGGATCAGTGAAGGCATTAGTTCTGCTGTACAACACTCTGAAACTCCAAATAGGAGAGCCCGAACAGTTACTTGGGCAATAGAAGTTGTAAAACCATATTAGATTGCATAAGATGATTTTACATATCTATGAAATGCTCATCTAACTCCAACCTGAGTCTGGAAATCATTTTACCAGTTTTCCCTTAGACCAATTCCTGTCTATGGAGCTCAGGTGTGAGGAAGGCACTTTGCTACTGTGTTAGTAAAATAAAGTCATTTGGGACATTTTCTGTGTCAGTTTTTAGACATTTTTTAGTCTGTGTCATTTTTAAGTTTCTTCATATGTCCAGTCACAGAGGTCAACATGACCTGGTCTGTGTCCCTCTCTTTGGAGCCTGATCCTGACAGAGGGCAACTGAAAAACTGAATAAAATAGTAATAAATAATTACCTTTGGGTCTAGGTGTTAGTGAATGCATAAATTGTCACCAGCCAGAGCTTTACATGAGGCTCTTAAAAACTCATTTGCAGTGAGTTAAATTCTTTCACCTGTGATCAGAGAGGATTAGGTCGTAGAGTTCAAAGACACTCAGATTTTCACATCCAGTCCTGCAGGTGCAAACTGCCGCTTTTCAGCAGTTTCCATGGATATTTGCATCCATCCCTTCATTGATCTTTCAAAGTCAGCAAAAAAAACTTGAGAAAAGTTACATTTGGATTTTTTCAGAATATAATTTTATATATATATATATAGTTATATATATATAAAAATAAATTTTAAAATAATAACTATTTATTTGATCTTTGTGAACAATATTGGTGTTAGTAAGCAAATAAACAGAGGCCAGAGGGAAGTTTCAGGGTGTGTGTTCACTGAAGTATTTTGAATTTTTAAAAAGAATGGAAAGTATTGATTTCTCAGGATTTTATTTGCCTTTTAGTTAATTTTCCAGTTTTACCACACCTAAATGCTCAATTTAAAATAGAGTAGCATAGGATGGTTTGGAAGGGACCTTAAAGACCGTAGGGGGAAGCATGTTGTTTTATAAATTGACAGTTCACTTGTTTAATTTGATAATTTTGTTGAAAGTTAAGTTTACCACTCTGTACCTTTTCACATGCTTTTTCTTTTAAACTCATTAATTTTTCAGCAAATCTGTTAAAATTTGTTCTAGTTGAGCTTACCCACTAAACGTTCCATGGTGCCTGTGTTTTCTAAAGGGATTTTCAAGTGGTTTGCCTCATTCACCAATTTAAGATCATCAGATAAACTTGGAACATCATGGAAAAGAAGTGTTGACACCATGTTTGAAATACAAATGTTACATATTCCTCTTATATAAAGGGGAAAAAAAACCCAAAACAGACCAAACCCAGCCCTCTAAATTACTGTGAGCCTGTCTTGCCATCTAGTGGCAGCTATTCATGCTCATTTTAGCTCAATCCATGTTATTCTAAAGTATTATTTTTAGCCTTGTTTGTCATAGTAGAGCTGACCTAATGCTTCAGAAGACCATCATTACAGTGAGGCACATGAGCAGAAAGGACTCTTCCATTTATCTTTCTGCCTAGCATTACTATTTATATAAATATATAAATAAATAAATACATAAATATAAAAAGAAATATGTGTAAAGTTAAACATTTAGATAGTGGTAATGAGCACAGTCAGTGAATTAAAAAATCAGTGAAATGCTTCTCTTGCATTTTGAAACAGAAATAGTGAACTACTTACCTATGTAAAGGAGATAGGTTTCTAAGCTGTCATGTAAGGCTGTAAAACATCTCTGTGATGTTCTGCTTTAGTTCACACTTAACACTGACAATATTTACAGTGAAGTCATGGTATAATACACTTTTAAACAATAGAGCTGCTGTTACAGATTCAGTAAATGCAGC